AATTTATTAGATTATTTTTTGAATATATTAAAAAAATTATTCAATAAGAAAACCTTAATATTACTTTTTAAGAAAATTACATGTATGATATTAAATTATATTACAATGGGACTAGCCCATTTGTTTGAGACTTTTGCCTCTTAAACAAATTTATTTATATTTCTAATGTTTATTCTTAAAAATGTTTATTCGGATCATATTTAAATTTAATTTAAAATATATTCGAATTCATATTCTACAATCAAAATTAACGTAGATTATTTTATCAGACATTCAAACCCAATTTATTCGAATACATATTTTAACCACTTGACAATGAGTGATAAAAGTCAATTGTAATTTTAAAAATAAAAAAATAAATTAAAAGCTAAAATTGGTGCTGAGTCGTCACACGGTAATTGGGTCCATTGGGAGACCGTTTACAATGATAATTTGATGGTCCATCCAATTGGAGACGGAGTCTTCGGAAACTTCCATCATCCGCCAGTTGGCCACCAAACTCCTCAACGTCTCCGGCGATTCATATTTTCAAATTCCCAATTTCTCCGATCACATTCACACACATACTACTCTTCCAAAACCCCCTCGTCCTTCTCTAGAAATCCGACTTATCTTCGACTTGAAAGAAAGAAATAGAGAGAGAGAATCGCAGATGAAGCCGGATTGGGAGCTGCAGAATTGTTGCGATAAAGACCAGAAACTATTTCTCGCCACCGTAGGCGTCTTCACTCTCGTCATTCTCGCGGTTAGCTACTCATATTTTTCTTGTAATTCAGTTATTTTTTATCTTTTACTCATCAGATTCTTCTTCTTCTTCTTCTTCTTCTTCCGTTTGTAGTTAACCCTAAATTTGGTGTGTTCCTATGCATACACTGCTTCTCTGGATTTTTCTAGTGTTTCTTAGTAGTTACGTTGTTTTTATAATTTAACATCATCTCTTACGGAAAGTTCTCAGAATTTGCTGTTGAAAGTATTGAGAATGTTGCTGTGTTAACCTAAAGCCCTAAACTCTATCATAAGATAAATTAGATTGTTAACAAGTTCAATGTGATAATCGTGATGCTCTGAAAGTTAATTGATTACAGTAGTAATTGATGGAAGGAATTTGTCTCATCTTCTCATCAGGTTTCTAGGTCAACAAACTAGGGTTTGGACTTTTAAGCATTTAACTCTATAGAGAGAAACAGTACTTCTCATTGGTGCATTGAATAACATATATTCAACATGAATATGTTTGATTTACCAATTGCAATTTCCCCCAATCTTCTGAAATCATTTTGACATAACTTTTCCATGTTTATTCACTCCATGTTATCTCAATCAGTCAATCTGAATGAATTGTACAGTTATGGAGAACATTTCTACTTACCCCTTTCAAGCTCATCACTGTCTTTCTTCATGAAGCAAGTCATGCAATCGCCTGTAAACTCACATGTGGAGAGGTAAAAAACAACAAAACCCTTCATCTTCTTTCCATATACATCATCTTTCAAGTTTCAAGCACACATCTTTTTCCTTTATCTTCTCCATTTTTATCAGGTAATGGGAATGGAGGTTCACGCCAATGAAGGAGGAGTAACACAGACACGTGGTGGTGTATATTGGTTGATCCTACCTGCTGGATGTATTACATTCCTCTTCAATTTCTTTATTAAATTCCATTTATTTGTTAATCTAAATAAATCTTTTTTTTTTATATAGATCTTGGTTCATCTTTCTGGGGTATGCTTCTAATCTTGGCATCAACTGGCCTTCTTACTTCAAGAATTGCAGCTGGATGTTTAGGAGTTGCTCTACTTATTGTCCTCTTTGTTGCCAAAAATGTAAAAATATTTTTATTTTTCAACAACTATTTAACCTTTTTAATTTTGTAATTTGAATATATCGAATTTGAAATCATCCATTTGCTTTGTTTTATTGAAACAGTGGACTCTTCGAGGACTTTGCATTGGTCTGTATTCTGTAACTTCAAATCTTTATAACTTTTTTATATTTATTAATAATTTTAATACCAAAAATATTAAATAATTTTAAAAATTACATTTTTCCACAGGATTTATTATCTTTCTTGCTGTCATTTGGATCCTACAAGAAAAAACCACAGTTCGCATCCTTCGTTATGTCATTTTGTTCATTGGTATGAATTATAAATATGATCTTATATCACTCTTCCCATTTTGTCCTTTTTATGAAATGACAATTTTGCCCTTTTCTTCACAGGTGTCATGAACAGTTTGTTTTCGGTTTATGGTAAGTAAACATTCTTTAATCATCAAAACTGACAATTTAACAAATTATATCATTATGAATGATCATTATATGTAATTATGTAAGTTTAGTATTATTATTATATATATGGAATAAAAAATAATTTTTTTATTGGCAGATATTTATGATGATTTAATTTCAAGGAGAGTTAATTCTAGTGATGCTGAGAAGTTTGCAGAAATTTGCCCTTGCCCATGTAATGGTGTTGCATGGGGAGTCATATGGTCAGTTTTTAGTAAATGACAATTTTGCCCTTTCCAATTTAGGCAACATACTTTCATATTTTATTTTTAATTTTGATTTTTTTTTCAGGGGAATGATTTCTTTCATTTTTCTAAGTGCTTCTGTGTATATTGGGCTTGTTATCTTATCAACATGAGGTATTCTTTTGTTATACGAGAAAATATTAAATAAAAGATTATTGAATTTTGTTAAATTAAATAAAATAATTGTTTTTATATATGCAGATTGATTCATGGAGTTGGATTTATTCATGTGGTGTTTGATGCACTAACTTTTAATCTCATTCTTTCAACCCTTTTGATTATTGAGGGTTTTATGCATATGATTGCTTTGTAACCTTTATAGTTAAATATTTTGTGAATTATGTACTTTATTTTTGTGGATATGCAAATTGAATTATAAGTTTCAAGTTATTCTTTCTAGTTTCTACTATTTTACCAAATTGTCAACTTTTGTGTCTTTAATACATTTAAATCATTTTATATTAGCATTTAGAAGAAAACCGGTTTTTGTTATTTGCACCAATAACAACAATGCACTATGAATAGCGATGCACTTTCAAAATGGAACCAAGAATAACAATGCACTTTTAATAACCACAAATTGAAAAACTAAGTATATACTTTCATATATAAAAAACGATATAAAGTGGGATAGTTTTTTCTTTAAAAAAAATGTTGATACAGAAAAAATGCAATATTGGTATGTTGTCTTGGTATGTTGTCTTCCAGACTGTATTTGATTCAATATTTAACCAAATATGTCTTTTTACAGTATAAAATGAAGGACAAACACCAAACTACATGTTGGAAAAAAAAATTAAGTAATTCTGACTTCATATGAGTGAGTTATGTGTATTTTAAAAAGTATGACAGACAATGTTTTCAAAAAAATGGTTTGTCGGAGATGTTGTCGAGAGTTACCTAGAGGAGATGATGACATTAAGGAGAGAGAGAGAGAGAGAGAGAGAGAGAGAGAGAGAGAGAGAGAGATGTTATCGGGTTAACACACTTCCACTCCACGTAAGCATTGCTCGAGAAGGGGGGGGGGGGGGGACCATGTTATAACATGTTAAGAGGGTTCCATGTCAGCATAACATGTGGTTCATTAGCATCGCACCACATAGCCTTAGGCTGGTAGGTATGGGTCTATGTCTTAACATCATCCTCTACGCCACACCATTTTAGGTAGGAAATTGTCATTACACCTCCACACCACTTTAATTTCCATCTCATATTTTCCCCCTTTTTTATCGAATGTTTTTTTTAAAATTTTTTTCAATAGTTATAAAAATAAATTATATAATATTAAAAAACATATCATTTAAATTGAAAAAATATATGTATTTACTTTGCAACCCTGTGAATCCTTGCCTAACTCTAGCATCATATCTCAATTGAAAAAAACTATACCTAAACATATATTTAATAGGTAAAATTATGTAATTTTTTTGTATAAGGATATATTAAAATGTATAAAAATAAAGGAAATGATGTCTGTTTCCAATGCGTGGTAATCCGTGTAAACACATTCTTATTCAAGCCAAACCTTCGTTTGAAATCTTTTGACTTGTATGCACAATTATCCGCAAAGTAATTGTGATATAGACATCCGTGTCCTTCCTCGTGGTTCTATTTAACCTCACACTTCTTGTTAGTAGAAGAGCTACATCTTCTAGTAGCTCGTTATATTAATAGGAAAATAATTTTTTTTCCCTATATAACAATTTCGAACAATCAAACTCACACCTACCCCTTTAATTTAAACTTCAAGACATGTTATGATGGCAACGAGGCTTAAGATAACATAAACCCGGGGTGACATTGTCCCAGCCTTAACGACATTATAGGCCTTCCACGTAGGATCCTCTACTGCGTGGAGGACCCATACCGAGCCGCCTTAGTGATTTTGTTCTTTCCACACATCTTTAGTGATTTCGTTCTTTCAAATAATACTCATAAATAGGTATGGTGGGGTCAAGATTCTTTAAATTTTTGGTAATTTTCATGGTTCTACCCGTCACACTGAATCTGGTAATAACATGTCCTTGTGTCAAAAAAATATTAATATTTTGATTTGTTGAGCAGATGAAACCTTGACCGGAGACCGAACCGACTGTCTTACTGGTTCGATGGTTCAATCGATCTCAAAAATCGGAGAAACCGGATGATATCATACTTGCATTATTATTAATTTTAATTATACAAAAAATACAAAAAATGAAAAAAACCAATATTTTTTAAAAATTCCTGCTTTGAACCGGTTTTTACCGGTTCACATGAATACCGTTTTTTTGGCCTTTAAAAACCAGATCCGGGACCGGATCCTGGTTAAACCGGCCGGTCCGGTCTGGTTTTCAAAACATGACGGTAGATTCCTACCAAATTAATTACCTTAATATATATATATATATATATATATATATATATATATATATATATAAAGGTAATTAACTAATTGTATTATTAAAATAAAAGGGAATAATTAAATGTGAATAAAATTACGCTAAATGCTACAATTAACAAGGTGCGGATGTGGTATTTGATCTTTACAACACTATGAAAAATAAAAGCACAATCATCTAAATTGTCTACGGGTGAATCATTTGTTTTTATAAAATTTTTATAAAATCATATATCCAAATCATCATCAGGGTCCTCATCAGAATCAGGCATCTCATCATCAGAATCACGAAAATAAATAATCTCCCCCCTTTCAATTTCCTCCTGTTTTTGCAATTTTTCATCATTTGACTCATGTTTGACCTCAGTCAAAGATTTCCTCCCATCATATATTTGAACCGATTTATCCATTTCTGTAAAAAAAAAACAAATTAATAAATTAATCAACAAAATCACAACCTACAAAAGCATACAAATTACAAACCTTGATGCTCAAATGGGAGTACAACTTTTGCTCTATCACTTTTTTCTTTATCTGATAACTGCATATTAAATTGCACCTACCAAAACATATAATTTTAATTATATATTTTATAAAAACTGATAAAAAACGAGACACAATTTTACCTTAGGAACAAGGCTTTGAGTGATTGCATTCTCCACAGCATTCATAGATGTGAATTTGATTTGTGATTGCTCATTGGAAAACTCTTCAACCTACAAAGAAAAGTTTTTATGATTGTTTCAAATCTTCAATATGCTTATGTGTGTGTGTAAATGGTGAGAGAGAAAGAGGGATTTACCATAACCCTAACGCGTCCATTTCTGCGTTTTAAAGATGCATGAAATTGTCCTTTTTTGTAATTTTGTTCTGCATTTGCTGTTGTAGAAAGTGGTTTTACATTGGCCACCATTGAAGACATGTATTCAAATGCAGAAGTGGTTTTAATATCATGGAGATCAGAATGTAGTAGCCAGAAGATACTTGATACTTGGGCTGAAAATAATGTACATGATGAGATTTTCTTTTTCTTTTTATAGAAAAAGAAGATTGTTATGATAATCATAATATAAAGTTATAAACATACCATGGCTTCGAAGATTGTTTATAAGGCTAGAAACTGAAGATAAGGATGTGTGTCTTAACATCTCACTTACCTGAACACAATATGAAGAACTCGATTATACACATTCATGAATGCAAATCAAGAAGGTTTGAGTTTGTGAATAGGGAAAAAGAAGGATTACAGAGTCTATGGCAACTGAGAAGCGAGTTTTCCCTTCTCCAATAAGTCCTGCAAAGTCATACAAATCATATGAATGATTGAATATAGAATTTGGAAATGAAGTTCGGATTTCAAGAAATACAGATCATGATTTCGTATCTACCTTTCCCCAACACAAGAATTTGAGAGAACAGATCATCCAAGTTTCTCACATCTTTGCATAAGTTAAGATTAAATGAAGCTTCTGTTGATGGAGTTTTAATGGCTCCACGCTCTTTGAGCTGTGCTTTCCAACCGAGTGGATCGGTATAACAATCCAAAACACTCAACCTGTCCCAAAATTTCCAATTACGAAGAACAATAGACATGAAATGATAATCGATTTAGCAGATCGTAATTCGAAACGGGATAATATTGTTACCATTGATGCGATGTGGCGATATCAGTTCCTTTGGTGTTGAGCAATTCAGCTGTGGACGAAGGACTTCTAGCGAAAGAGATGAGCACGATGCCTCTGAAACTCGAAACCGTGCAATTTAGAAATAATGTATATAGCTCTCTTCAATTCAATCAATGATTGAAAAGCTAAACTCATAGGGATTAGGATATGTTTTTACCGAGATTGAGACTTCTCCGACGATATGAATGATGATAGCTGAGTGAAAATGTAATCGAAGACGATGGGACCGAACGGTGAATCAACAGAATCGTTTATGGTGAGAGACGTTGCGTGTTCGCCTTCTAATGCTCCGTCGCGGAGGACTCTACAAATGGCGTCCGCCATTGTCCGCCGGTAGAGGATTTACAGTCGTGATTGAAGGAGGGTTTACGGTTTTTTTACAAAACCCTAACTCGATTTGGAAGAAGGTTATGAATTAGAGTTTACTAAAAATCTAAGGGGGTGTTCGTGATTACTTTTAAAAAATAATAAATAAATAATATTTTGCGAACTTAAAAATACTTTCTAAAATAACTTTTTAAAATAACTTAAAAATACTTTTTAAAATAACTTTTCAATAACTTCAATAATAAGATTTTAAAAAACATATAAGTTTTTTAACTATTAACGGTTTTTTTAAAATAATAAGTTAAACACTTTTTACTTATTGTCATATTGATTTTTATCATCACAATTATATATTTTTTAAAAGAATTCGTTTTGCTATCATAAAGTTAACTAGCTGGGAAACCCCGCGGGAAACCCCGCTCCGCGGGGTTCGGTTAAGACCAGTAAAGTATGTTGCTATTGTCTACAATTCACTCATTTACAAATACATAATAGTCAAATATGTTGTAGTATGGCAACAATTGTGCGGTATTCCTTTGTAAAGTATGTTGTTGAATTGTTAAAGTACAATATGTTCAAAAGTAGAACATTTTCTTAGATCAAAAGAACAACATACTTTAACCGGACCATACGACTACTCAACTGATCCGTTAAATGTTCTTCCTGAATATTTACATTGATCCAAAAAAAACCTTCAGCCTACAAGTAGGAAAAAAAATGTGTTAATACAATAAATAGCAACATGCTTCCATTTCTTCCTATTGCATCATTGTACTTTGGAAAATTTATTCAATTATAGCAAGTGAAAGTCTATCTACAAAATATATGTTTGCGTTAACAAAAAAAAAATTATTAAAACCCAAAAATTTATTCAGTTATAGCAAGTGAAAATCCATTCCTTTAGCAAATACCTGCAGAAATAAAAAAAGATAAACACAAAAATTTAACCTAAAAATATTTTAAAACCCATTGAATGTTCATAGGAATAGTAAATCTTTTTATTAGAAAGAAGAAAACAAAGGTAAGCAAGTAGCTTACCTTTATCAATTTGCGAAAGGATGTCGAAACAAAAAAATAACCGACAACCGTGATTCCTCCAAAGAACAAACCAACTGTAAATAATACAAACATTTTACAAACATCCGGACAAAAAAAGGAATAGAAGTTTACCATCAACTTTTCGATTATGTCCCTGCCCCTAAATCAAATTATTCGAACACAAGTCAGATCTGGTTGAAGAACAAAATAATAACTAATATTTTAAAAAAAAATCAACATTAAAATGTCCCTATAATGAAATCATTCCAACGGTTTGAGAACTTGAATCTTCATAATATTTAGAGTGCCCTACAACAAAAAAAAGTCTCAATAAGCAGTTTATTGAAGCGATAAACAGAAGATACAATATGAGAGGTTGTCCATTAACAAAACCGATTGAAAATTCTAAGTATGTTGCGATTATCGGTAAACATTAGAGCATAGAGGTTAAGTACATTGCTATTTTTTGCAATATAAAAACAAAAAAATAAAAAAAATAAAAGAAATCAAAGGGTGATTAGACAACCAACCGGTTAGAAACCGAAAGATTTTGGTGTGTGTGAGAGTATGTGTGTGTGTGAGAGAGAGAGAGAGAGAGAGAGAGAGAGAGAGAGATAGAGAGAGAGAGAGAGAGTGCTGACGTGGATACCTATACCATAATGTGATGAGACGATTTGTATGATTCCCACTGTGATCATTTGAGACTGCACGGGCAAGGCCAAAATCTGCTAGCTTCAAATTTCATTCATTGTCTATTAGAATGTCAGAACCTGCAGAAAAGTTAGCGATAAGAATTTAAACCCAAATAATAATAAAAAAAATTCATTTTCCCTGAATTTCTAACTAAAAACAGAAATAAGGTAAGAACTAAAAAACACCACATATTGTGTATGTGCCCATTTGTATCATCATCACCGGTATAAAAATAATAATAGAGTTAAAAAAACCATACATTATTATTTTTTGCATTTAATATTTTTTGAAAATGTACCAAATACTCATCGGGGCAACGAAATAATCTTGTTGACTCCAAGATAGGCTTTAAGTTCATCTTTTATTTGTTCTTTGGTCAGATGTGGATTCCTGTTTTTGTTCAATAACCATTCTTCCGTAGTAAGCCATGTCCCTAAGAAAAAAATATGAGATATCAAATTAGTAAAAATCTACCTAATAATAAAATACACAAACAACAATATAAAAGTTGTGACCTTCAGCATCTACATGAATGCTTCCACCTTCAAGAATTATGGATTGTGGAAAACAGGGAATCCTCTCCATTGAAAGAATCTAACAGGAAAAAGCAAAACCAAAATTAATGGAAATCTTTTAAGAAAAATTTAAGAGGATGGAAACGTAGGTGTTATTTTTTTTATACATGATGTAAATCTTTTGAAGTTTCAAAAATATGTATCGATAATATTTATTATTTGATAAAATAAAATATCTAAAACTATTAAAATACAAAGCTGGCCTCGCCAACTATTGAAGTTCCAATCAATATCAGCAACATTATGTCCTGAACTTGATTTCCACTCACTTACAACAAACTATAGGGTAAAAGAAAAGGATTATTTAATAAGAAATTAAAAAGTAACACAAAGAATTGATCAAAAGAAAAGTGAAATGGAAGAGGAAGTTAACAGTTCACGGAACCAAGAATCATTCATACTCATCTCAGCAACAAACAATTGGTCTGCAACATGAATCCATCAAGTCATTTTGAAATAACTATTAAATTCTTTAATGAATTATACACGCCGGAACATTAGCTTTTGAGAGATATGTGGCAACAAAGCAGAAGTTGTGGAAAATTTTATGGGGTTTTAAAAACAAAATAATAATAACATTTGGTTCAGGCATTTTATCAAGCAGGTGTTGTGCATGAAAATTACTTTCAACTTCCTGTGAAGATTAGATACAAAGAAAAAAACCTCATTTCATCTAACATCTTACAGCTTGAGTAATATTACTTAAATGACCTTTTGATGTGTGACGGTGATAGACCACGTAAATGTAGGTATACATAAATTAAAGAAAGTTGTTGGTTGTTGGCGAAAATTATCCAAAATAGTTAAATACCCTTCAAGAATTAAAAAAAAATGGACCCAAATCTATTCATGTTGAAATAATGCCAGTTGAAACAAATAATAACTTTTAATTTGAGATTTTGCATTAAAAAGGATAATTAGAAAACTTTACCACGGTACATGTTATAATCCAAAACATGAGGTGTATCAGTGTGATAAGTTGCAGCCTATTCACAGAAATGATTCGGAAGATCATAAGCTACAGGGTTGTAGCTCGTGTACTCGTAATCCTGTTGAAAATTAAATTCATTTCAATATGCTATCCAACAAAAAAGACATTTTTACCCATCATGATGAATCAATCCAGAACCAAAACAGAACATAAATGAAATCACAATTAGGGTGATGGATTTTGTCTCTTCATTGATCGTAACATTCCCATATTGCAGAAAATCATTGTGACAAAAAGCAACATGTTCTTTTAATTGACTAGTTGTCTTTATTGAATGGAGATGGGGCCATGGGGTGTGGTATTTTTTTCGCTTAAATTGTATACAAATAAAAATAAACGAAAAGGAAATCAGAAAGGGTATATAAGAGACAGTTGATAAGTAAATAACCATGGAACGAAAAAAATCCCAGAAAATAAACAAATCTGCAGCACAATAATTCATTAATTTACTTCCAGATATAAGAATTCAACTCAACAATCATATGATTGTTTAACCATGCTTTGGGTCTGAAACATTGCAAAACTTCCCCTGTGATTGTTTAACCATGCTCTGATCTCTTTAACCTTGTAAAAATACAAACTGATGAATATATAAGCACAATCTATGAAAAATTAAACAATGAAAATCAAGTATGAATCTTACCATTTCCATCAGCTTTACAGGTTTAGATTCTATGTGTTTTTGATGGGTTTTATGCATAAGAACAATCCTATGTGCTCATACAAACCCTAATGTTTGGATCTAGGTTTCTATATTGTACATGCAATGAATCCAAGACTTGCAAACCCTAATCTAGCATACATAATATCAAAATTAACATGTAACATCAGATCTAGATGTTTACCTCTTCCAATAGTAGCTTGAATCTTCTTCTCTTGAGCTAAGAATCACAATTGTAATTCCTCTAATGGATCACAAGCACCACACAAGCAAGAAGGCAATTATGAGTGAGGAGAGACAATGCTAAAATCGGCCCTAGGGTTTCTCTTGGGAATCAGTGGCCGAAAATTACATGCTAGGGTCTCTATTTATACTATAGGCTGCTAGGGTTTCAGTCTAAACCATAATGGATACCTTAGCCACCAAGTAGCCCAAGGAACCTTCTGGAATAGGGCCCTTGGACGAAAATATGATGATCCCTCATCATAATTTCGTTCCCCCTTAGTCTATTAGGTTTCCCAGCCCAAAACTCAATTATCACATATTTGACAGTTTATGCCCCTTTATTTAATTAATCTCTTTTAGTCACCAAATTAATTCCTAATTAATTTATGACTAATACTAATTAAATAAATGATTTCTCCTTTAATATATTATTCTTATAATATATTAATAAACCATAATATCCTCTCTCTTTCCTTAAATTACCTTGTCAAGTTGCTTTCGTGAAGGCAACCCAAAAGGACCATGCATAACCAGGTCAAGTACATACCAAATATAGTTACGGGCTTAGACACTAATCCAACAGTCTCCCACTTGGATAAGTCTAGTAACTATATCTCACATACGACTTCAGGATCCGGTTAGCAATCGTAGCTCTTATACGCTTCTGTCAACTCTGACCAAAATCCTGTCCTTCAGATAAGGGATCGTATAATCCTCTGTTCTAGATATCATGCTGACAATACTTATTGTCCAGCATTTGTTTCTCGATCTCTGATTTGTTCGACATAGAATTCAGTTGAACACATCAACCTCATTCTGACCGGGCCCGACACATAAGTCAAACCAAATCATCAAGTGGCCAAGATATCGCTTTTATACTCTTAGAATAAAAGGAACAGAAA